TCACCAAAAATATAATTGAATTCATTTATTATATCCTTAATATCTCGTGTTTTTTCATTTGATATATCGAGCAATCCATCAATAAATGTCTGAATTTGATCGACATTTACACCAAAATTATCCCAAATAAATGACTTATAATTCCTGCGTTTATAAATAAAAAAATTCTATATAATTTAATTCAGTTATAAATTATAACTTATAATAAATATTTATAATAAACATAATTATTAATATAATGTAAATACTTATGTGATAATTGTATTTCAAACAATTCTTTGACAATTACTCCTATTTTCTGAATTGAATAGATTGTATAAGGGTATTCATTAAATACAGAATTGTCATATGAACGTAAATATAATTTCATAAAGTTTTTGCTCATTATATTATTAGTTGATATAAATATATGTTTGGTTTTGAGTTTACAATTGTCAATATCAATATTTAAAGCAATCAATCCTTGAATACAATGTAATAATTGTCTCAACAATTGCTGTGAAATCACGAAATCAATTGAAATGATTGCCAACGAGTGATGGGTTTGTGTCCCAAATATCTCTTGTTTTGCATTTATGACATCCCATAGAGTTTGTGAACAAAACTCCATTTGAATTAAAACCCCATTGTTTTTAATCCAAGAGTTATATATTTGTAGCAAATATTGAGGTTTTATTTCAAAAAGTTTCTTAATATTTACACATTTTTGTTTAATATTGGAATCACCTATAAATTAAAATTTTTAATAATATTGGATAATTAAATATAAAATTGTATATTATAATTTTATGAAATAAAATATATTTTAAAATATAAATAGTGTCTATATAATAGATTGTATTACCGCTTTATTAAAAATGACATTGTATTTTAATAGTTATGCCTAAATATAAACAAAATCAGACCACGATCTAGGAAACTTCTAATTAAAGATAAATCCCGAACGGTTTTTGTTTCTATAGATGCTATAATGTTATTTAACCCTTATTTAAAAGTATAGGTATACTCGATATGATGACACCAATTATAAGACCCATAGCAAGATTTAATCACTATTAAAGGAATTGTTATTAAAAATTCTAACATATTGTTAATATTACCGATAGACTTAAGTAAGTTTATAGAAACGCATGTTATCCTATGAGAGTTTCGTTTTTAACAATTAATATTTGAAAATGTGGTATATAGGATTTATAATGAATTATAATTAAAAAATTACCGCCAATGAATTTTTAAATCGGTATTTGATTGTATACTGATGTTATTTATACTAATGTAAATTGTATTAACATACTGATTAAACACATTGAAAATTGTATTAACTTAATTTTACCTAAATTTATTATATAATAGAACTTGTTGGTTTTAATATTCAGTGCCTTGACTAATTCATCAATATTTATATCCAGGTTTAATGATTGACCAGTTGGATCAATGTCTATAATCATAATGGAATAATTGTCTATTAATTTTTGAAAAATATTAATAATATAATAAGATTGGTTTACCATGTTCAAATGTTTGGCAAATGTTATGGCATTCGTAATAATAATAGAAAAATAATATGAATTTATTTTCAAATATTTTATTAAATAATAAATCGTTTTTCTCGACAATTGGTTTAATCGATAAATGCTTTAATTTATGTAAAATTACTTCACATTCGGGTCTTTGTCTCCAATCCGTCGATCCATTGGTTGAGTACTTATTAGCACTCATTTCAAGCAATAATTGATTTATTTCTATTAATTTATTCGGTTGATTCAAACTATTGTTATTTTGTAATTTTAAATCCAATCTAAGAATAGTGTTATCATTAATTAATTAATATTTATAGTGATATTAAAAATATTGTATGACTCGCTACATACTTTCCATTTACAATTTCTCTTGTATTGAACCCGAAAAGTTGTGCCCCAATGAGTGCCAGACTATAGACATCTATTAAATGGTTGTATTCAGTGGTCTGTCCTTCGGGTGCCATATATTCAACATTCCCGACATCTTTGGTGTGTTTAACACTACTTTGTTTGTATCCATCACTCAATACATGCACTTCTTTAGACAATCCGAAGTCACATAACTTTATATATCTATTATACTTATCGTTGTTATCAATCAATACGTTATCGGGTTTGAGATCTCTGTGAATGATATTATTTTTATGCAAATACTCCACACTTTCGACCAATTGTTTGAATATTTCATATGATATATAATATTCAAATTCAGTCATTGTTTTTCCAAATATTTCTCTTTTATTTTCTAAAACTTGGGTTAAAATTCCGGCCAAACACTCCATAAGAATGTATAAACAGTTGCTTTCAATCCATGAATAATAATATTGAATCACATATTTTGACCGCAATTTTACTAAATTTTTAGTTTCATTCAAAACATTTTGTTTGAGTTTTTCTGTCAAATCTTTAATTAAAAAATATAATTATTAAATTAAGATAAAATTTAATAATAAAATACTACTATTTAATTGACACGTTTTAACTGCAAAGATATTTCCATTGTGTTTGGCCTTCACTTTATACACTCGTCCAAAACTGCCTAAACCTAAATTTTTTAATATTTCATACATTTCTATACCATTTGAGCCACGTTTGATTTCTAATATAATCAAGTAACATACATATAAGTTAGTGTACTTATAAGTTATAACTTAACAATTAACAGTTTAATTATTGTTACTTCCTTACCATAATGTTGTATCATATTAAATGTCTGAACATAATCCTTAGGTTTAGTCATATCAATAGTTTTATTAGTTGTTTGATATTTATTAGCGAAATAATTAACAAATGTTGTATACGTTGTCTCAATAAACACATGATCATTAATTTCAAACACTTTTCCATCACTTATTCCAACTATCAAAACATAATAATTATTTACACGATCAATATCTGTAAACAACAAGTTATTAATTATAATCATATTTTCATTTATCAAATCATATTTGTAAATATGTTTATCATTTGATAACATAATCAATATGGCATGACCGAATTCACACACAAATATTATATTATAGACATTAATTAGTAATTTTGGTGAATTTGTTGTTTTGTTATTCCACATAAACACCCGTCCATTGGATGAAATGGCAAATGAGTTATATTCTGAACACATAATGTCAACAATTTTGTATTCGTCGGGAAATTGTATTTCAATTGAGTTTTGTGTTTCCATTAAATTATATCTCCATTGAAATACCTGTCCATCGGATGTCAAAACAATAGCTTCTCTCAAAAAACATGATATTTTCTCAATACAAATATCACGTGAATTACATAATAATATTCTGTTCGGTTTATTATACATGTCGAGAGTTATAAGAGCATTGAAAGTTTTATTCAAACCCCAGCCATATATCTCGTGATTGCTATTCAAAGCCAACGCAAAGTCATGTCCATTAAAAAAGTGTTGTATTTTGTGATGACTTAATTCTAGCACTTCTTCGGGCGTATGTATGGGTCGGTTGTGTCCCAAACCCAACACTCCGTCTCTATTACTGCCCAACCCATAGACCCGATCATCGGTTGTCACAAACAATATATTATTATTCATGAAGTAATCGAAAATATAGAATAATTTGATTTCTTGTCTCAAATCGTTGGGAATTTTGGCACAAATTTCAAACTTATTTAAAATTTCAGACATTTTTATTTAATTTGTTATTAATACGTAAAACCAATTTAATAGTTATTAAATTTTCATTTATTAAATAAAATATGTTTCAAAATATTAACAGTTGAAAGTTATTAAATTCATAAACTTATATGAATTAATAATATTTAAAGTACATCTATTTATATAATCTTTATAATAAGTTGTAATTATTATAATTATTCAATTATATTTGTTATATGATTTAATAACAACAAATATAAATAACATTCACCTATTAATACAATTGTATTAATCACAACGTTTACAATAATAACACAATATAAATGAATACACGGTTTGGTTGTTAGAGACGAACACAAAACACATGATAATTGCCATACATTTCATAACAATTGAGATAATATAAAGTTATATTTTATTGCAGTAAAAATGAACATTCTCCATTATGTTCTCTCTCTTTCTTTCTACATTGTCAACTGGATACTTAATCTTTTGACTATGATAAGTTATAAATATTAATCCAATTTTCCTTAGTATTTACTATTTAAATAATTATTTAATATAATTTTGTATAATTTAATATTACAGACTTTATAATAAAAATAGTACTATTATGTAAGAACAATTTAATAGTTAAATTATTAATGTTAAAAATGTTTTCACTATTTTTAAAATAAAAAATATTTTTAGTTGAATTAAATGACAACTCATAAGATTGTATTGATTACCACATTTACAACAATAACTGCAATCTATGACTAAATACAGGGTTTGGTTGTTAGAGACGAACACAAAACACATAAGGAAAAGTATAAGGAAATGGTGTGAAAATGCAATGCAATAATAATTCACTGAGAATTCATGTCAAGTGAATTGAAACACAAACTAATGAAATGCCTTATAATATGAAAATTACATTTTGATCATTGTATTCAAAGACATGGATATGTGTGTACTGTATATAATTTGCACTGATTTACTACAAGTGCTCTTAGCCGTAAAAGTTTTATTATATATGAAATGAATAGTATAAGTTATATAAATTAAGTATGGTTATTATGGTTATAAATAGCCATGATATCAATATACAGGTAAGTCTGGAAATGAACTGTATTATAAAATAAATATATAAACACATTATTACATTATCAACTGATATTTAATATTAATTTTTTTAATTTGGAAATTTTGGACATATTATAAACAAATATTTTATAAATTATGGCAGAATTAATCACTTTAATTAATCAATCAATTAAATTAAAAATCAAATCTTATTTTACAAATAAAAAACAAAATACAAACAAAAAATTACATCTTAAATCGTAAATTACATTATCTCATACAGTGTTAGGGGCCTAACGACGGGCCAAATTATACGGATTTTTATTATTGTTGTCAATAGAGTAATCGATCTCGATCGTTTTAATTGGCTTTAATTTTTTGTTTGACTTTAACGAGTGGGTCGAGTAGGTTGAGAGGGGCGGACCCGGCGATCGGGGTCGGGGCGAACGGGTTTGTAGTGTAGAGTAGGACCGGTTGTGTTGGTCGGGGACGTAGTCATCGTTATCGTAGCCCAAGTGATACGACTTTGGCTGTGATTTGTTTGACTTGAGTGTCCCCTCGGGATAGCCTTTGTTCAGTGAATTGCGGGACCCGTACCGTGAGTTCGGGGCCGTCCAGTCGGCCCGGTATGGGTCGTAGTCGTCGACTGTCTCGTCCGGTTCCTGTTCGACGATCTAGGTGAAATTAAATAATCGTATATGAAATCAATCATATTTAAAACAATGTAATCAAACGTAAGTGTAATAACTGTAACGTTATTGTAAACTGCTACGAAAATATGTTCATTGGTTTATTTTTAGTGATATTGGCAGTAATGGATAGGAAAGATTATTTTACAAGAAAATGCTATACAGTATTATCAATAAAAAACATCATGTGATTAACTTTTAAATATAATTTAATTGAAAACTTACCTCAGTTTTAATACAGCGACAACTGAGTGATGAGCACATGAACATGTTCAACAATAACATTAATAGTAATAACACGGCCAACACTATGCAAAGTGTAATTAACCATGGGAATCTCCATTCAGTGCACTCGGACAGATTTTCGTGGGTAACTAAATAAAAAGATGTGTCAATAAGTTTGCATCAAAAATTTGACCTTGGTTGAATAAATTCTATGTTATAAATTAAATTAAATTTTACTCACGTGAATCATCTGTTGGCTCAAAAACAAACATCGAGGTGGAGGCCGACAGTTGTGAATACCCATCGAGAGCCAAATCCCTACCCTTATAACCGGGTGAGTCGCACACCGGCTCCTGACAGCCGC